ATGCTCTCACCCCCCCCCCCCCCTCCACCATCACCATCGTCGTCAGCAGCAGTAGCAGCGGCAGCAGCAGCGGCAGCAGCAGCGGCAGTAAGCGCAGCTCCACCACTTGATGCTGGCGACCTTGTCCGTCGGTGGCTGCGCATTTCAGCGTTGCAGTCAGAGCTTCCTACTCCTTTTCTTTTTCTCCATCTTCCTGTCCACAATGGCGTCGTCGGAGGCGCTGGATGAGGACTGTTCGCTGCAGCAGCTGCAGCAGCGGGGGAGATCGCAGAGTGACCCAAGCAGCATCACCGAGATCCGGTTGGCTGAGGCGCACAGAGCAGGTAACAGGAGTGGAAAGAGAGGAGAAGGCTGAGGAGAAGGTGAAGGTGAAGGAGAAGGAGGAGGCGTGCAGGACAGGTGTCATCAGCTGTCAGGCTGGGGACAGTTTAGTTTGTCATATGTGGATAGGAGACGCTCGTCATCTGCGGACATGATGTCAGTAGATCTGCATGCAACAAACAGGTTGCGTTGTTAAACGTGCGTCATTGGCAGACCGTGATCTACTGAGCCGAACCGTGCGGAGCGGAGCTGAGCTGAGCTGAGCTGAGGCCTTACAGCTGGAATCACACTCACATTTACAGTCACTCCGGAAATGGAGGAGAATTTCTGTCAGTGGAAACAAATATATCTTTAGTTTCAGATGTTGTCCATCTGCTGTATTTTCACTTCATCGACATGACTCATGTTTGGACTCTTTAAATGAAGAGCCTACATGAAACACATGTAGACAGGATTAAAACACAGAGAAATGTATATTATCATATTTAATAAGATATTTTAAATAGTCATTCAACATATATTTAAACAATACCACGAATATTCCCATTTAGAATTATTACCCTGTTGACGATATAGATAATTAAACAACATTATCACAGAATAGCTTATTATTCAGTACATGAGTTAGCCATAATTTAGCCTAATGCAGACAGGTTAAGGCTTATTTGTTTTAATATGAACTTAAGTTTATGTCTGTTTTGTTTTAACTCCCATTTTATTATATCTGAAATATTTTAACATTTACTACTGCAGAGTATGTTGCACTAACTAAAACTGATGTTTTTGTTATATATTTTCATTAATTATCACTTTTTAAGCAAGTTTAAAAAATATGAAATTCTATCATTTTTGCCTGTTTAAAATTTGATATTTTGGACTGCTTGGAAACAGGACTTTAAAACTAAAAAATAAAAGATGATATAATTCCTTCTTATCATTACATAGAGACAATGTTAGCAACAGTTAAGGTTAAACTGCAGCACAACTACAAACTTACCTCCACACCTTTACTCTGATTTAAATTCAGAGGTACTACATCAGTACAGTAATGTTTGGATCACCATTAGTACAGCTACTATGATGCAAGAAATGTCCTAAAAATTAGCATACACACAGACACCATGCAGTCTGCAGAATGTGGGGCTGAAAGTGATGAGAGTGATGACCATGTAGTTGACTGTTTCCATGGAGACGTAAATGGCAGGGGGCGGATCTTGGCTCTCTGACTGTGGGCTGTCTCTCTGTTTGTCTGCACAGATTTAATTCTGGCTGCAGTTGCTTTGGTTTGTGGTCAGTTGGTCTCAGTGATGTACAGCAGTCAGCCTGTCAAAGTAAAATGCCACTTACACTCTGTGAATCCTGAGGCTGGATTCACATTTCCACAGGGAACTGTTGGCCTGTTCATTCACTTACACTGTAGCGGTCCTGAGATATCCTGTTTGAAGGCTATTGATCGGCGGATCAATGTAAAAACATGATAAATCGCCCGCCTTAACTGGCTCTCAGACATTCATCATGCCCTGTAATTCAACTGGTTTCACAACAAGGAGAGTGTGTAGTATCAAATTCCAACAAGAGGGAATTTGATCGTGTAAAACTGTAGTAATAGCTCAACACGGCCAAGACCAGGCTGCAGAAGTCCTACAAGAGCGATACATGTGTATGTATCTGCAGCTTGGACTGTTAACATCATGTTCCCAATAAGCACTGGATCTCTATTACAGTTTTAAGACTTTGTCTAACCTATGATTCATGACGGTGAAAAGACAACTGGGAAAATAAAATCAGGTGTTATGGCCTGTTCAGGGTGAATCCTGCTCTGGCTTCTGCACCAAAGAAATGATACCTTGGCTTGTTGAAAAACAAAGACTGTTGCTAGAAATAGACTCTGAAACAGGGGATGAGCTTCTTGGTGTTATTTTGGGCAGTGACAATGTTTTAAATAAAAATGAGAACGGCTTGGGCAGAGCCAGAGCTGCCCTGGTGCTGGTGAGCTTTTTTTTTTGTCAATAACTGCCCTTCCTTGGTCTTTTGGGGCAAGTTATTGAACTTCTAGATTCACTGATGGCTGACATGTTAAGGAAACAGTTTAGTCTTTCAGCTGCGTTGATGGTCTTCCACTCTAACAAGTACCTGTTTCTTTTTATACATGGTTTACATGGTATAGTTTATAGCCCACATCAACATTTTTTTGTCAGTGTTTTGTCAGTGTTTGGGGGGAAAAACCCCAAAAAGATTGAAGAGAGAGCGTTGCCAGATCTGTGGTTGTGAATAACCTCTATTTCACAATCTGTTTAACACAGGACTTTCAATTCTGTCAGTGTACAAACAATTTTAGTTAGAGCTGGACTCACCAACATTTCACCATTAAAAACAGGAACACAGTCGAAAGCAGCTGCTATTTCAGACTAACACACTGATCCTGGTGTTGGATGTTTTGTTACCGTAAGGGTTTGTTCGCTGCTTGACCGAAAATGGAGTTCACTTTTTATAAAGCTAGCTGGCATTCAGAATATTGTGTATAATTCTGTTTTTATGAGCGCCTTCTGTTCTAGCATTTTCTTGTACCTCACCCTCTTGTTCTGCACTTCTTCTCTCACCCTAGTGAGAAAGACTTCCTAACTATCTGTGACTCATCTCAGTTTTCCTGGTCACTGACTGTCCAGTCAGTCAGGGTCTTAGCTTCCCTTGTCCAAGCCGTTCCGGTCACAGTCAGTCAGTCTCCAACATTCTACTGTAGCTCTGCAGCCTGCACCTATCCTCCTGTGTTTCCAGCTCCCTTGATTACCGACTCCCCTCCTGATGTGCTCCCCCTGCGTCTCGTTATCTCCTTCCCCCTGTGCGTATAAACAACTCTCAGTCACTTAGCAGTGTTCTGGTGTTCGATGTTTGATGTTCTGTGTTTCTTGATTGTAGAATCTATGAAAGGAGAACTCTCTTGTGCTCCCTAACGTTTATCCCCATCGCTAACACTACGATTAGCCTGTGGCCCAGGTCTGTCATCTTTGCGTCTTTTCAAAGTTTGTTTAACAATATCCTGTATTTCTGTATTCAGTATTTTCATGTCTGATATCCAATACCCATACTACAACTTGGAGGATCTGCCGATAGCGATGTCGCTCTGATACCATTGGGGCTTAGGTACGGAATCGGATGTAGTTGTTTTTTGCAGGTTCAATCCTGAAAGTTTGACCAATATCAGAAAATGAGCCAGCCCTACCTTACTCTGATCATTACAAAACTCCTTCATCAGCTGCACTTGTGTCCAACTGCCACATTGTTATTGTAAAAATGGCCATGATATATTCTATACTGACTTTTTAGCATTTTAAAAAAAGTAGAATTGTTAAGTTTTAAACACAGTCACATGTCCAGTTAAATTGTGGGCATATCCTGTAAAGCTGGTACAGTATATACAGCATAGGCCAGAATTGTTACTTTTTTGGCATAAAAAACCTGGCATTTCACTTGTTGTACCAAAAGTATATTTTAATATTTTACTGTAAAAATTAAAAACGTTTATCCCGTCCAAAATCATATGCATGGGATAAACAGTTGGGAGGATAGCAAGCAGTTAAAGGGTCAAAGATTTATCAATGTGGCCACCAGATGGCCCTACTTGTCATATGGCTGTAGTGGTTATTACAATGTTCTCCATAAAGGACAACCTTGACACTAAGACAGAAGGGCAAAAAAAGTAAAACAAAAAAAGCTTCAGATTTTTTCACACAGCAGGTTAACGGCTGTTCACTGTAAAAAAACGAAGGTTTTGTGCAACCTTTTTTGGGATATATTTAGAGCTGATGAAATTCCTGGGAGTCTAACAGGACGTCATCCATTTGAAGTGGAACATTTTGCGATAAAGGACTTTGTCCGTCTACTGCAACCTTGACTAATTTTAAACATGGGTTATGTGAGTTAGTCAGTTCAAAGAACTTTAAATTAAAACGTGATTTTACAAAAACAAACTACATTTTTCACCCTCATAGATTTCACCCTTGAATCTTTGATGTAGCCTTGATTTTATTTGTGTTTTCAAAGAAGCAGCTGAGACTCGGCGGGACGAAGCACTGTTAAAGAACTGCTTATTCTAAAGAGTGACACAACATGATTTATAGAAAGGGTAAATGTTAAATGTGCATTAAACACAGGCTGACATTTATACACCCCTGAGTGGGGAATGTTGAGGTATTTGACTTAAGCTGGCCGCCATTTACAGATGATGTATCTTTTATGAATGTTTCATGTGCTGACCTAATTCCTTTTAGAGCAGAGTAGAAGCAATATGTTGTGCATGAGGACACACGACGCAGAGCATCAGGCTGAGCCTTTCCACGTCCTCCTGCCAGCCTGGGTTAAGGAAGGATCAGACAGAAAGACACACTAACAAACTGGGCTGTGATAGTACTGTGTAATCCAATTTAAGCTCCACAGAAGCAGACCATTTCAGGGACTCAGGTCCCATTTTTACAAAATTGACAGTGAATCCCATAAAGAAGGAGGAACAAAAGTAGGCGAGAGAAGTGTTGTGCTTTCTGCAGCAGATGTAATTAAAACAACTGCTGAGTCCCAGTGCAGGAGTGGAGAGAAGACTAGAATAATAACAAGGATCCTCGGTAGCATTTATATATATATAAATATTTGGTTGAAGTGTAGTTTGAAGAAGGACCAATTACTCCAAAGCACAATAACACAAACTAATTCAAGTGTGTACAGGGGTCCTCGGTTTACGACATCCTCAACCTACAGTGTTTCATGGTTATATCGCCATCTCCCATACAAGCAAATAAAATATTACCATTAAAAAACATATTATAATATAAGCCAAGAAATAAAAATAAATGAATGCACAATCAAATCAATTACAGAAATTTGAGACTTTTGTAAGTGATGTCTTATAAATGCATCATGTGTGTCAGCTGTTCTGTTGTTTTTAGACACTTCTTTTTTGTAAGAGCAAACATCCACATCCATAGGGTCACAGTTCAGAAAGTTCAAATGATTGGGCCAGACATGACAATTGAACAGGTCACTAATGAAATGGCAGTGTACTGACCCAGTGTTGTTCAACATCCCTGACCCCTCACTTTATTAAATGTTCAGAGGAATCTTGGTCTCTGTTTTTTATTGTAAAACCTTATGTTAACCCGGCTCAGCAGCTAGCGTTTGTTTACATAGTGGCTGAGGTGTTTTTCTACTGCTGACGTTTACAACCAATGGTAAAGTGCTGAGGTGCAACGTGTCCCACAAATGGACAGAACTGTGAGAGGCCAGTTCTTATGTACACATGCTTTACCCACTTTACTTTGCAACTTCCTTATGACTGCACAACATCTATGTGTGATTTCACCCTTTCCCCCTTAGTGTGTTTCTCTGTGTGTGTGTGTGTGTCAGTCACCACAGCTCCTCCCCTGGTTCTGTTCTCAAACCTACAGAAATGTCACACTAAACTGACTTAATATAGATATTCACTTTTCTTATCGATTTCACCTCAAGACTAAAATAATTTGAAAAAAATATATGAAAAAGAAACACATTTTGCTGGATTTTTAAGGATGCGTTGTTCCATTTAATTGGAACAATGGGAACACACTAGACAACGGTATTAAAAGTGAACACTTGTAGAACAAAGATGCTCTAATTGGGTTTTTAATAAAATAGTTAGATTTTCTTTCAGTTTACTACACTGGTAAATGTTTTCCATTATTTTTCCATTCCTGTAATCTCTGTTGATCTCCTCAAAATACTAATGCAAATGCTGCAAGTCAGTCTTTCTGTGTTACCAAACAGTCCAGAGCCATAAGACGACCATTTTGTCTGTTCTGTGCATCTCACTTTGCCAGACCCTCAAAGCCAGGCCACACTCAATGAAGTCATGTAAATATTGAATGAGATTCATTCCCGCCAGGACGCCGACAGTGCTGGTTTTAGTCTTTGTTTACTGCTAGTGCATCCCTAAGGAATAATCATGTCAGCGACAGTTATCATCTCTAATGTCTCTGCTCTTTTGCCTTTAACATAGAGATGTCCCTGGAGTCCATCGATCTGAAACCACGGAGGTTTTGCTTAAGTGATGCTATCCTTGCAATTAGTTGTCTGTGAAGATGAGGCAGATGGAAATACAGTATGTAGAACGTTTCTCTGGGCTTACGTAAGACCTAATTATTAGTTTTTAATAATAATAAAAAAAGAATACAACCAGACATAAACATACCAAAGATCTACTCTGAGTCAAGTCTGAGTTTAATGTATTTCCCTTTTCTAAGTGATGACATCAAGAAGTGTATTTATAAAAACTAATTAATGACTAAATTTATGCTTGTTTATCCATTAGAAAACTTATAATATACTTATAAATATATATGTATTATATATAATAATATACCCAGCAGAGATAAGAATTCTGTACAAACAATACATGTTGACCACAGAGGCTGAAGTGTCAGAGTGAATATATGAAGTGTGGCCAATTTGAAGCATTAAAGATATAAAATCTGTATCGTGTTTAAATGGCAGAAAATACTGGCCAATGTTATGATAAACGCCCCTCCCTGCCTCACATACGTGTGACCACTTCAGTCGGATTGCTTGCCAGCTGTTTATTTGCACTGCTCCTCCTGCTGGAAAGGGCGGGGCTCACATGGCACATTAGCTTCAAATGTCAGTAAGCCACTCGCCTGAGCTGCAGAACAGACCTCTCCCACGAGTGCCATGTTTGCAACATTTTTTTTAAAACCCCGGAGTCTATTACTTATCATCTGTGGACTTCCCACTATCTGAGTGGGACTGAACTTTATTTCTTTAAAGTGAAGAACCAACCATCTGCTGGAGAACATCTGGATCTCCGTGTGTCCTGTGATCGGTAGGAAACCATGTGATTGTCCTAATCCTGCTGAGATGTGGACCCATCTGACTGGAGAACACTTTTGTAATGTTTTTCTGTTGTCCAACTCAAGCTCAAAAAGCAGATGTAGTTCTATGTAGTTCTTCACAACGATACCTTAAGGCTGGTCTGTTGAGTACAATTAGCAGTTTCTGATGCTCTTGGATTCGTCGCTCAGAACTTTCACACAGAGATTGAGCACTAGGTTCTTCACTTCACTCTGGTTAGGTGTTCTTGCAAACACCAGTCCTGGCTGTGATCTGACCAATTATTTGTTAAGTCTATTTATTAATTGAATGAAATCTAATTGAATCCAATTAATCACAGGGCAGCTGTGGATAAGTCTGTGTTTAATACAACTAAGTTTCAAGTATCTTTTATAAAAAATATTTTTTTAACATAACCACAGCTTTGTAACCTGCTAAAATGTTACAAAGTTCACAAAAAGATTGGCTCTAACCTTCTTTTGCACTCATTAATATTTCACCCTAGCATGAAGTGCTGTCAGGTTTACTGTACATTATGCATTTCTGCATGCCTGGCCCTGATTGGCTACAGCCTTTTCATCCACCCAGCAACTCCGTGTTCCTCATGCTATGGTGGTTTTTACTCTGAGGGACTCTAACCTCCTGCAGCATCCACAGTAGTAACCATGGCAACGGCAGCCTGACCCTGCATGTGGCTGTTGTTACTCCAGGCTTGACCTGAATTCTCTGCTGCAGATGAGCACTGATCTGCTTACCGTGGTCAGTGGTCAAGCAACTGAAAAACCTCAGTCAAAGCCCAGAACTCTAACAGGGATCAATAAACACAGCTTTAAATAATAGAGATGAACAGAATGTAGTTTAAATGATACTTGGATGGATTGTCGTTACAAACACATTATCAACTATTTATATATGTTATTGTTTAAGAAATAGTACATGTCTACTCTACAACCTCTGGTGTATGTTGGTCTCATGGTAATACATGCTGAAATGCAGCCCTGACTAAAAAAAAACAACATTGGTTGATTTCTTTGGTAAACAAATCCCAGGATCTTTAAGTTTCACTGAAATCTCAAATAAGACAGACTTAAATGATTCACCTTTATCTTCAATCTTCACAGAAATTTGACATAAGGCCCACTTTCATACAATCTGGACAACAACGTGGTTAAACAGACCTGGTCAAGCATTTAGATTAAGAATTTGATGTTTCTTACAGCCTCCATGCTAGCTGCTGCGGCTACAGCTGTTTCATACTCAGTACAGCTTCTCTGTGATGAGTAACGTTTAATAAATAAATGAATTTGTTGTGTGAAAAAACGTAGACACCGAGTCAGCACATACAGTAGTGTAAATTGCAAACGTTTTTGCTAACAATATGTACAAAAAAGAATAGCTTCACTTTGAGTTAATTATAATCTGCATAACACAAACATGGATTTCAGACTGATGTTAGAGAAGTACATGGTGCTGATGCAGATGTTATTTATTCCCCTGTGTTCTCTAAAGACAGTTTAAAAGCATTCCATTGTTTATGTGTCTTTGAGAGTAAAAAGGTCGGCCTGCTCTGAATCCCTGTGAGTAATTCATGTACAATGTGAACCACTGTCTCATCTCGATCGCCTCTCTTCAGATTTACAATTTAAAAAAGGCCTTCACAGATAATCACATGAATTTGCTGGTGGTCATGTCATGAATACAGATACAGCTTAGAAGTAGTTACGTAAGAGTTACAGGGGAAAACTGGCTACAGTTAAAGAGGGATCTAGTGGAAGAGTTCGACCACCAGGTTTAGATACCTGGACAAGTCTGAGGTTCTGTCCCTGATGTGCACAGATCTACGGCTCTGCTTGCTGCAGCCAACTTCCCTGTTTGAGGACGTTTCTCAATACAAAAAATGCAAAAAGTCTTTATTTAATTTCCCACTCCTCTCTGATGGTGATGCATGTTTATAAATGTAGTTTTAGCTGCTAATTTTAAAGAGTGTTTCTGTTTTACTGTGTGTTATTGAAGGAATGGACCAGCAGAAGGAGCTGCGTGCCGGTTGCTTGGTGTCAGGAGTACGCACACCACCTGTCCGCAGAAACAGCAAACTGGCCTCATTCGGACGCATCTTTAAGCCGTGGAAATGGAGGAAAAAGAAAAACGAGAAGCTGAAGCCCTCGGGACAGAGTAAGTGAGCCACAGGACCTCCAACAGTGACTCTTCTACATAAGGACGGTGGATTCACTCTCCACAGTTCATCAGCCCATAACAGGGTCTAACATCTCAGAGTCCTGTACCATACGTTCTTTTTTTGTTTTATTCAGTGGTGGAGAAGAAGGCAGCTGCACCAATGAGAAGAGGGGAACCGCTCGTGAGAAACACAGAAGAAATGGAGACAGGTGGATACATTCACACACACACTCACTCACACACACACACACAGGACTTGAAGCTGTTTTCTGCTCTGTGTGTGAGCAGAGTCAGATCAGGCCTGTGGAGGTAACAGTGAAGATCCAGACACTCCCACTCAGTCCGATGACGAGGGCAAAGACGAGGAGCATGTGACCTTGCCCAGCACCACTGAAGACCTCAGCAGTGACTTAGAAGCATCAGCAGGTAATATGTGGCCCACACCAATAACAGAAAAGACGACTTGCACCAAGAATAGTGAGCAGTTTTTCATAGCCCACGACTGTATTTGTATTCCTAAGGACAGATAAACTACCAAGTCTTATAAAGTTAAAACGACCACTCAGCAGCTGCTGAATCAGAGTTACATTTAAAACCACAAATCCAAAAGTTTGTTACATCAGCTTGCTAAAAAAATGTCCTGCTTCATGCCGTCCTTGCTAGTCAGTCGGTAATGTCATGCCTCTAAGTGACCACTAGGTGGAGACAGATCCATTCTTTGTAATTACAATCCTCCCACGTTCTATTTCAGTGCAAACTGATTTGATGGACAACTCAAAGCCAGGGTTGGACAACAGCCAGAGTCACGGTGGAGGAGACAACAGTACCTCAGTGAGTGAGTCCAGTGAGGAGACACAGGCTGTGGAAGGGAGAAGGTCAGGGACGGAGCCTCAGCCTCAGCCTCAGCCTCAGCCACAGCCTGTGACCAGGCGAGCCAGCACCCCTCCTCCACCCAACATGCCTGTCAAACTGCTGCCCAGACTGGGAAGCCTGGACTGTGAGTTTACCAGGAGTGAAAAGCTAATCAAACCTCAGAGGTGTTTTCTGACCAGGTCAACGTTTTTCCACAGGTGCCCCCCCAGTGCCCGTGAAGAAGTCTCCAGCCACTTTACCTAGAAATTTCTCTCTGCCTAAAGACCCTCATGGCTCCCTTTTAAGAGGCAGGATGTCCACACCTACAGGGTCCCCTCACCTTGGAACACTGCACCATCAACTGCCACCTAGCTGTATCATTGAGGAATTGCACCGAGCCTTGGCAACCAAACACAGGCAGGAGAGGTTAGACTGACAGTTCTAATACAAGTACAGTACTATAAAATATATTTATATACTAAAGAAAGAACTAGGGATGACCTCGAACAACCTTCCATGTCATATTTCCATGTACTGCAGTCTGTAGTATCTATTGATACCAATACCAAACTGATACCATCCTCCCTCTAGCAGCAAATACTCTGCTCAAAAAGTAATGAATCAAATTCAAGCAAAACTCTTTCTGCACGATTTTCCTTTGGCAGTATCTTAATTTCATACGATATCCACACTACAGTACTTTTGTTCACACAAAGATAAGGTGAGCACTGACCAGATATCTGTGTCTTGTGTTATCACAGTTTCCAGTTGAAGGAAGCACGTTCGTCGCCACAGCGGCGGTTTGATGGCCGCCTATCGCGCATGTCTAGCACAGAGAGGGAGCCAGGTGTTGAGCCTGCGTGCAAAAAAGAATCTGATGAGAACAAGGAAAATGTGCGTCTAGACCAGTCTGTGGGCGACCAGGAGAGCTGGAACGAGTCTGCGATGTCTGGTAGGTCCTAACCCAATGTACCATCCTCCAAATTGGTACTTTTATATAATTGCCAGTTTTTTTATCCTGCCAATTTTCAACAATCAGTCTTTTTTTTTCTATGAAATTTGGTGCAAAACAAAAAGCAAAATTTCCCTTTCCAATTACAACTACTAAATCTTGCTAATACTTGTTTATTGCAGGAGTATGACGTAGAGATTAAAGTAAAGTACATGAGCTGAGTGTTTGGTGTTGAATTTCAGTGGCTGGAGAACATCCCCTCCTGTCGCCCTAATTCTTAGTTATTAATGTGGATTTTTGGTGCCACCTGATCCTGCGTGAACCAACATGAACTCCCGACTTCTCTATCCAAAATGATTTAAATCTTTAGTTTTACTCTCCCGTTTATGCTGTAGTATTTTGTATCTCACTGACTTCAATAATTAACCGATGCATTAACCGGTCCGGTCCATTCCAAAATAATTACAATTTCTGCAACAATCGTGTCTGTAATTTGGTGTTAAATAACAGCTGTTTCTCAAGTCTGAGTCAGATCTAGATCAGGAAACTGATGAGTTATAACTATTAGAGGAGAACCAAAACCCAACAGCGTGCAGTAACTGACTCAAACGTGTGTTTGGACACCAACAGGAACTCTGCCTCGCAGAATGAAAAAGGAGCTTCTGGCCGTGAAGCTGAGGAACCGGCCCAGCAAGCAGGAGCTGGAGGACCGCAATATTTTCCCTGTCCGAAGTGACCAGGAGCGGCAGGAAATCCGTCAGCAGATTGAGATAAGGCTGGCCAAGTGAGTAACTACGTGTGCACCGTGATTGGTTCTCGTCTTTGCATCAGTTCCCACCATATATCCAACCGAGGCAGGATTATTTTTGTCAGTGCAGAGATTCACTAACAGGTAACAGCTAACATTAACTGAGGTAGTTCACTGGTCAAGACAAGTCAAATGCATGACTGTTTATCAGAGTTATTATATTGTTGTACATATTTTACGTGATCCACTGCCACTCAACTTTACTGTTATTATGCAACATAAATGGCATGAAAAAAAAATCCTTTTAATGCGGGTGTCTTTCAGCATTTAAGAAGAAACTTGTGGAACCATTCTGTCTGAAGTTCTGATTATGGAGATTCCCTTTCTAATGCGAATAGACAGAAGCAAAGTGATGGTGTGTTTATGTCCAGTTTAGAGAAATTACTTTGTCTTTCTGTCACATTTTTCCACAAAAAGGATTGCAACACAGCATCACATGTAGCCAAGTTTCACCTAAAGTTAAATCCAGTCAATGCAGCTAGTTAGAATATCGGTGGTTGTTTACCCGCATAATAAAAAGAATGTTCTTCATAATTCCAAAAACATTTTTAGTGTTCCACACCGTAGACGTGTCTCGCTGGGGAATGTTCCAACACTGCTTACGTAAAGTAGCGTGGACCCCTCTTGCATAATGCAAACAGACAGTGATCAATTCTGTTTTGTAAGTAGTCGTTGGACAGTGGGAGGCTGAGCTACTGATGGAATGTGAAGCGTGTTGGTTAAGGCCAGAGGTCAAAGCATCATCCGGTCTACTCAGTGTTTCTGACAGTTATGGTCAGTGGACTGTGAAACAGGGGACGCTCACTGCAGGCTGAGCTGCTCTACTTGATAGAAGTAAAACAAGATTAAAATAAAAAAACCCAAAGAAATAGAATAGGTAAAGATGATCCTTATACAAAACTGAAATCATTTTCAATGTGCATAAATATAAATAGATGTGGGTGTGGACTGTCTGGAGGTGTCACTCTAACACTGACACATTGAAATTTGATGAATGAAAAAATGTAGGTTTTGGATTTTTAGTATAAAGACTTTGGCTAAGCTTCTGAGTGAACTGTGTTGTACCAGACACTGTGTCTGCACAGTGTTCTCACAGGTGCTGACATGTGAACAGCTGAGGCAGTGCCATTGTTTTGGGATGACACCACCATGTGCTCTGCCGTCTCTGTCCTGATTCTGCTGGCCACACCGTCTGCCCCAGGCTCCCACTGAAACAACAAACGCTGTGAGCAGTCTGTAGTAGCAGTGGTGGTGTGTAGACAGTCTCTGAATCACACTGAATGAGCTGTGCTGGATCTGACAGACAGGTGTTCTGTCAGATCTTACAGTGTGGTCAGGTCCTACTCTCTGGGGCTCTCGTCAGAGTTCAGCACAGGTTGAACAGCCTTCAGGAGGAGGACAGAACAATGATGTCTTTGACTTTACAGCAGTCCCCTTCAGCTAAAATCACTGGACATCATCCTGCTCTCATTTAATGATAAAATAAGGTGTGCATATAACTGTCACTTTGAAATTAACATCAAGCCGTGGCTACTGTGTTTTCTGCTTTTGGTGATTTCTGGATAATATATAGTGGTTGGCTCTATGTAACACATTTGAACATATTGTACTTCAAGTTGTTTGGCTAACATGATTTCATTTTGGGGTAAAACATGGCAGATTGTATTGATTTGCTTTAACTGAAGGGCAGAGCCGTACTCTGCAGCAGAATGCAGAGCAGTGGGCTGGCCTGGCACAGCGATAGGGAATCCTTTGTTCCCATTTTTAGCTCTCATCGACAAAAACACTGCATCAGCAGTCAAAATCAATGACCATTCTACGTCACAGACCGCTTCTTTTTCCTCTACGCTCCCGTCCCTGCTGCTGAGGAGGCTGCAGTTTGTCCACTGCAGCTGCAGGGAGCTGTACAGTGATTCTGAGCCTGTGTCATCAGCTGAGGACAGATTAGTGATGCTTTTGCATTTTTACACTGGCAGTGTGAGATTTTACCGCAGCCCACCTGATCTCCTGACGTGCCCGTAGGGTAAAGAGAGGGCAGCTTTCCTGATGATGAAAACCTCTGAAGCATTATTGGCAATAAGTAAATTCTATTTTTAGTAAGACATGTTTTTGAAGATGTTTATAAAAGGCTTTTTTTTAGCTGACAGCAATATATTTCTCCACTAAGAAAAGCTTGGTTGAGTAAAATGATCTGAAGTGCATAGTGCAAAAAACAACAGCAGGGAAAAGAATATCCAGTGAACTCTTACACTTTACACATGACATTTTAAATACCTTATGTAACTGACCACAGAAGAGCACAGTGCAGGAAGCAGTGTGTGATTGTAGAGCTGATTGAGGTTCTGCAGTTTCATCCAATTGTTTTGATGAACTTTAAATTGAAATTACCATCTACAAGATTTTATTAAAACCTAAAATCTCGCTTCTGAATCTTTACATATTCAGGCAAATAGACTTTTGACTAACTTTACTAGCCCAGATGGTTTTACTAAAATATATCTTTCAAATTATCCATTATCCATTGTCTTGTGTTACTGTGGTTTTACAAAAGGCATGGCTGTGCCTCCATCCTCTCACTGGTTGAGTCTCACTGACGAATTTTGGCTGGAAATTGTAAACCAGTTTGGGAAAAAAAAGAAGAAAGCAGCAGATAAAACAAGGCACAAACATAATGGGAAACACAATCCCCAAATTGCACACTGTCACCCTGTAGAGTCTCAGTGTCCCACACTCAGCAATTAACGCCATACAGTGTCTTTTTATAGGACTGAATGCTGCACAAATGTCAAAAGTCTCTGCACCCACGTAATGAATTCCTCTTGTTCTTACTTTCACAGCCCTCTTGCTGGGTTCCCTCCCCTCTACAAAAAAGAAAAAGAAAAGAAAGAGTAGAGAGTAGGCTATGTCCAGGGTTTGTCACGTATGTCGGACCACTGTCTATCTCCCACATTGATTTTAAGTTCCATGTGACTGTGACAGTGTTCATTATGTGAAACCCAACCAGACATTGATTTCGTGTTGACATCTGCTGTGTTGACTAATGGATATTCCTGTTTTGACTAAATCAATTCCTGAGGCATTTCAGGACTGTTTGTGTCCTCTTCAGGGATGACCTACACAGATATTTAGATATTTGTAATGACCTTGCACAAAGATAGTGAGTTAGTTAGTTCGTTATGGTTCCAAGAGTCAAACTTTCTTTTTTATTTAACTTATTGTAGAAGTTGTGGCTATATGAAATGTTGGAACACAGGTTGTTCTGCTGAAAAGCACAACAACTCTACGTCTCAGACTGGATTTGATGACAGCCATTTGTTACTAAATCGCTATAGAGTTCTTCAACTGCATAGGTGGTTCCATGGTGTAATGGTTAGCACTCTGGACTTTGAATCCAGTGATCCGAGTTCAAATCTCAGTGGAACCTGAATTTTTCCTTTTCAAACTACCTTAACAGCTTCAAATCTCGGTGGAACCTGAATTTTTCCTTCTCAAACTACCTTAACAGCATAGATTCAATATTAATGTTTTTATTTTTATTGAGTTACAAGGGACTTTTGCCTTCATTCATTTTTATTATCTTATTGTTGATTTTTTACCTTGGGATTAACCAATCCTTCCTACCAATTCACATTTTCTTAACTTGCTTTTAACAGTTAGGGATAAGTAAGTCATAAGGTAGAAAAATAAAGACATTTTAAATCAAGGCAGCATGTACGCAGCACTAACCCAAAGAGATTTCATTCAGTAAAAATGTTACAAGTATCAGTAGAAGATAAACAGGTCAACCCGTGCTGTCCACATCAGAGATGAAGCCAAGGATTAGGACACACCACACTGGGCAGTAGCTGATCATTCCATTCTCTACCATTTTTCATGGCCTGCCATTCCCATCAGCCATTGCTTTCAGTGTAGGGTCATTGCTTTGACATGTTGGTAAAATGTCCAACAAATGAGAACCTTTTATATCTGTTGCAAAATGTAGTTCACTGTTGGCCTGGTGGGGCACCGACACTGCTTCTGTGGGGTTTTTTGTATTACTGTATTGTTTGTTATTTAATAATTTAAAAAGTGAACCAATGGTTGCAGCACATCAGCATTACTCTTTATTAGTTAATAGTTAGTTGATACGTTCATTAGTTTTAAGAACAATGCAACATAATTGTGACATTGTAACATAATTTAAACCTAAAACTCTTTACTGCAAGTGCTGCAGTTGTGATAGTGTCGTCTGTGTTGCTCACTTCTTGGCTAAAAAAAAGGGTTATTTAGAGATTTAGAGTCTTTGTGGTTTAACAGCAGCTTTGCATTCTTTCAGTCCTATGATTGCCACCCACTTGGTCTATTTTTTACCAGAACATGTTTACACACAGAAAGGTTGCAGTTTCTGTCTAAACTCAGAACAAAAATGAAACAGATAACAGTGGAATTCTGGGGGATGTTTTTCGCAGTCGATGAAAACCTGCTTTTTGTCATGCATTCCTATCCAATGTTCTTTCAATTTTGGCAAAAGAAAAAGATAACTCTAGATCATTGCTGTAATGAGAGTGTGAAGGGATATCCAATTAAAATGTACATTAAAAAAGCCTAATCATTATTTAATGAGTGTGCTATTGGCACACAGCATCACCATGGGAAAAGGTTCATATCATCCGTCTTCAGCATGTTTCAGTCATTACAGCTTTAGTCAAGACATAATGTGAATGTCTTAGAGCCTTTGAACTTTAAATGAGTCAGGGGACTCAGTTGTAAAGGTTGCTTTGTCAAGTCTCTTGGTGAACATATATACAGGAGCTCCACTGCTGGTCTGACCTCATCTGGAAACATCAGCATTCTGGCAATTCTGTTTCTTTTGGACAGTTTCAGCATCAGCTGGCGTTTCCTCCAAAGTGTGAGATAATTTAGGTCTGTCTCTCATATCCGATTTGAAAGTATATTTTATCATGACATAAAATCTCCCAAGTACGCCAGACTTGCAGGGCATCAGCACTTTGTTTTTTGATTACTGCATTTACAGGAAATGGTGGTTAACCTCTGCAAGCTTTTTATCTTAGGGGGCTGTTAATTTTCATTCCATGACCTTAAACAAAATAAAATTCTTGCATAAGCTTGATTTCATACTTGACCTATAAAATATGGAAAAATACTCTGAATTAAATCTTGTGAAATATTATTTTTAAGGTCAACCTACCCTCAGCACTAACAACATGAAAGTTACCAAGTGAGTATTTGTAAGATGGCTGAAAGCTAACAGGTGAGGTTGAAACTCTTGTAAAGTCTTGTAAAAATAGGTAGCACAACAACCCTATGTCTCAGACTGGATTTGATGTCAGCCATTTGTTAGTAAATCACCACAAAGTTCTTCATGTGTACAGGTGGTTCCATGGTGTAATGGTTAGCACTCTGGACTTTGAATCCAGTGATCCGAGTTCAAATCTCGGTGGAACCTGAATATTTGGGAGAATTCATTCACCTATTACTGTATTTTTTCTTTCCTAAACTACCTTAACAGCAGTCGCTCTGGAGGGGTTTGTTATGATTGTGTCTCTGGACTCTGAGATTGACTTATTTTTACTAAATAAAAATGGTAGACGACCGATGGCTTGATGGGGAAATAGTTACTTCATTAATTTCCTGATTTTCTTACTGAACTGAATTACAATAATGTTTAATTCAGAATTTGCAATATTTTTTGATTGTTGCTGTGTAAATGGAATGCAGCTGTTGAAAGTACCTTATTTGTTTAATGTGTGCAAATTAAATGTTATTGCACGTTTGTCAAATAGCAGTCCTACCCTGTCTGTGCTGAGTGAAGGTCTTTAGGATGGGTCGTGCAGGGTCTGCAGCTCTGGTTTGAGAAATGTTTGGAAATAGTAAAAATAAATTCAAAATGAGTCTGTGAATATTAATACTCGTGATCAACACTGACGTTTAAATTTAAAGTAACATTTAGGTTACGTAAGTTTAGCTTAGGTAAGTTTTACCTTTT